TTATTAGCCTCTACCTTGTTTGATCTCTCAATGAGATCAGTTGCGGTGAGCTACATGGTTTGCCTCACATCGTCAGCACGTTTTCAATTGAAAAATAAGGGCTCGTCCGGGATTTGAACCCGGGACCTCTCGCACCCAAAGCGAGAATCATACCCCTAGACCAACGAGCCACATATACTGCATACTTTCTGCATGTCTCAAGTATTTCAGAAAGTAAACTGTCCTATAAAATCTTTGTTTTATAGATGGTTATTTTCGCATTTATATGTATATAATATAATAATATAATAATGTACGAAATAATAGTTATTCGGAAATAATGGCAACTTAGTCTCTTGTACAAATGCTTGCCGAACTTGAACACATACATTTGCGGTTTAGATTGCAGGTTCACATTTTAAGGTCTTACCTGTACTTCCGTAAATCATTTCTAATTTATTACGGTTATCTAATCATATATAAAACTCCATTATAATTTTGTTATCTGTTATAGGACCTCGTGGCGCAACGGTAGCGCGTCTGACTCCAGATCAGAAGGTTGCGTGTTCAAATCACGTCGGGGTCACGTGAATCCTTGTATTTTTTTCCCAAGTGGTTTGTCCATATAATCATATTACCATTTTGGCGGGGTACAGTCCGTTACACACAATTGACAGCAGTGCCGTTCATTTAATTGCGTTAGAAGTCGGTGGAGTTTTACCTTAATTACAATCCTCATTTCAATCAAATAAATTAAATTGTGGACCATTATTGTTTTACTTCACCATTTTGGTAAAGGAGAAAAAAAAGAGGGCTCGTCCGGGATTTGAACCCGGGACCTCTCGCACCCTAAGCGAGAATCATACCCCTAGACCAACGAGCCACTTAACGTAACTATTGCTCTGGTATGCAGTATGAAAACAACCATAATAATAATAATAAATAACATATCCATAATAACACCCACAGCTTTCTTACAACTGAATTAGGTGCATTAAAAGAGACTTTTATTTACTTTAATAATTCATTTAGCTGATGCTTTAACCAAAGCGACTTAAAAATCAGGAGTATAACAAAGTGAATTATTCTGAGGAGGTAATAACAGAAGTGCTAACAATACAAATTTTAAACATTGTCTAGAAGCAAAAGCATAGAAATATGTTTTTGCCCCCAGGCAACATCCACAGTTAAGTGCTCACTGAAAAAAAAGTGTTTTTTGCCATTTCTTAAATACTGCATTTGGCTGTCCGGGTAAGACCACCACGGGTGAATGTGAATGTTTGGGGAAATGACACTGTGCCTCTGTTACAGTACCATGAGGTGCTGCTCACCCACTAACAGCAGGAGTGGAGGTCAGTTTGTAAGAGGGTGAGCAGCCTGTGGCTGTACTGTACACAAACTTTAATGTCTTGAACTTGATGTGAGCGGTGAACGGTAGCCAGTGAAGATACTAGTATTACATTCCCAAGAAATAATTATTGCATAATACACTGCAACATAAAAATCATTATCATCGCTTTGTAATATAATAAACATTTAAATTAAATAAATCTGGTTCTAATTAACCAGGCTGGTGTTGCATTAAAGATATCATTTCATTTTGTTCCGTCATGTATCAAGCCTAATACAAAATATCATCTTAATGATAAATCAGTCAGGTTCCGGCCCAGGATCTTCACCATATTTCAAATCGCTGGTCTCTGATGAACTGCTTTCTATCACTGATTTTGTTTCCGAAGAGTCTGCAAACACAAAATTGTCCACACAAATCAACTGATGTGTTAAGTTCATCTACATCCCTCAAAAATGAGGATCAGCAATAACAAAGCTGTTCAATCATTAAAGTGTAAAGTAAAGCTAAACACGTATTCTACAATGACATGTCATTTTAAACATGCATTTTAGATATCAAAACACAGACTTAATTGTATTTATTTATGTATTATTTATTTATTTGCATTATTGTAATTAAATGATTCTAGATTCTAGAATACAAAACTTGAGACTTCGATTGAACACAACAGACCCACATAACTTTATAAACATGAGACACAAATGATTTATCTTTTTAGTTAGTCACTAAAACTTCATATTCATTCATTTCACGGAGGGTTAATAGACCTACACCAGTAAAACACTGATCACACACACTTACCGTACAGTCTGAATATTGCTGTGAGTGCAGACGTGTGATATTATTGTGACTCAGGCTACAAGATTAAACAGAAATAAGCATGAAGTAAACAAGTTTGAATACTGTGTTTTATATTTCTCTACTTCTGACGTGTCTGTGTAACTCACTCCAGAGTCTGGGTTTTGTGCAGATGTGGCAGCAGCGGCTCCATGCAGAGATCAGTGAGTTTGCAGTGACTGAGATCCAGTTCTGTCAGTCCTTCAGAATATTCCAGAAACAGTGCCAGCTCTTCACAAGCTCTCGGGTCCATCTGAGTGTGACTGAGGTCCAGCTCTCCTGTGACAGAGCCTCAGCGCTCCTCAAAGAGACTCTCTGGGCTCCATCTTTACTAATACAAGCCAGAACCTGGAGCAGCAGAGCTTCACTACAGCTGATGAGAGGAAGGAGAACAAAACAACATACATGAATGTGAGAATAATATACAGGGATTTGATATGGAGATAAATAATGCACTATGTAATATTAGCAATGGAAGAGGTCTGTCAGCTGTCTTACCTCAGCTGGACTTGAGGCAGGACTGGCCAAAGTTGTTTCAGGGCCTCATCAGAGAGCTCACAGTCCTGTAAGATCAACTTCACAATACTTTGGGTTTTCTGAAGCACAGATGAGATCATTCTACAGTCTTTTTTGGTTAGTTTCAAATGTCTCATAAATCTCCATAATGATGGACAGAATAAAGCTGGGGCTCAACCTGTGGAGAATAAGATCACTCGATGAAATCCACTTGAATCAAAGGCACTCAATAAATATAAATTCTCAAGCTGACAAGTAAACTACAAGCAACTTTATAATGACCTAAATGGATGCAATTGAACTGTTTAGTCATGATGTCAATTTGTAGGTTGACCCAAAAGACCAATTTGACATGGAAATTGGTAAAAGGCGAAGTAAACAAGTAAAAGTAAATCCTGTGTCTATGATATAAAACATAGTTTGACCTCAGTTCCAGTTAAGTTTCAGTTAACTATATAAGAACTACAACTACCACAATGATGTTAGCTTAATGTGCCTGACATATCAGAAAACTGTAGTTCTTGTTTGAAACGCGTTTTTAAAGTGCACAATGGTTTCAACAAACAAACTCACATTTAAGGAATCATGTCTTCCAAACTGTCAAACTTAAGGAATCTAACATCGTGTCTTCCAAACTGTCAAAAACAAAGCTCATGAGAAACATTTACATCATAGTTTAGGATGTGTCATTCTATCACTGAAGTGATTTTAACAGTTTATAGAAAAGCTTGAGGTATCTCAGACCTCTGCAGGTGTTTGAATATCAGTTTGAGTCCTTTGCGCAACGCTTCCTGCGCAAAGTTTTTTTTTTTATCCGACAATTCGGTAAACAAATAGCCTACCTCTCCGATCGTAAAGCGGGTCTCCCCTCCTCCACTGAGAATGATTGACAGATGACACTGGGCTTCACGGAAAAGATGAAACAGCGCCATGAAGTCTACGTGTGGCCAAAAGTATATTGCATCCGTAGTGTTAAGCGCTACCATAGAGAATGAATGGGAAAAGTTGAGGGAAGTTAAGCTGAGCCACTTTCGGTTTATTTTTATTGATTATTAAAGAAGGGTGCGTTGTAACATACAATTTGCTCGATCGATGCTGATTTGCGATGCATTTGATTTTTATATAACAGTTTTCAGTGTGATGAGTACGTATTCAGTCCATATCTGAGGCAGAACATTAAAACCGTGTGGTGGGAACTGCTTGAAATTATGAAACCGAATATCACAGCGCGTTGGTGGTATAGTGGTTAGCATAGCTGCCTTCCAAGCAGTTGACCCGGGTTCGATTCCCGGCCAACGCAACTTACATTTTGATTTTAAAACGCTCCAGTGAATCCTTAATAGCTAAACGAATTAATTATGCAAAACAGCCAACTCTTTCAGTGTTCTATTAATAAACGCTTATACAAATATATTTTAACGTTATCAATTCAGCATTCCGAATCTCACTTGGCTTGAGAGACTCAAGCAGCCCCGCCTCTCTCCCAAAAGCGAGACTAGCGTTCAGAAACAGCTGATCGTGCGAGGCAGAGGAGCATCACAGTCGCAATGTCATCCGAGGAGCTCGCACGGAAGCTGCAGCGCAGGCTGGACGCCGAGCAGCGTGACCCCAAACCCGGCTCACCGGCGCAGACAGGAGCGGACGAAGAGCAGCCGCCGCCGGTGAGACCCAGCACTGCCGTGAACGGCGACGCCAGCTCTGAGCTGACGGAGAAACTCACCCGCAGGCTGGACATCCACGACGGCACAGCGAAACCCAATCAGATGAAGGTTTTCAACCCCTACACCGAGTTCAAAGAGTTCTCGCGCAAACAGATCAAAGACATGGAGAAAATGTTCAAGAGGTCAGTTCATCAATCAACACCATTTAAAACCCACCCACTGTCGTTATCATATATATTCATCTACATTAAGATTTATCCAAGTCAGTGAAGCATTTAACTGGTATTTGGTCATTATTTTAGGTCATAACAACTAAGAGTGAAGTTTGTGTGCTTGTGTGCGTCAGAGAGTTCTGGGATCATTGTGTTCTTGGATCAGAAGAATGAATGATGCTTCTTTTAAATGAAATCCCTCATTTATTATTTTTGATCTTTTGTCTTTTATTATCTTGATGGTTATTTTATCTTAATAATTGTATAAAATTTGTATTTAAATTTACTGTGCTTTATTTCCATTAAAAGTGTATTGAGTTTAAAATCAAATTGTTAGTAAAACAGTGTGAATGGAGTAGTTTTAGGATAGTATACAAATATAAAACAATGCAGTGCATAAAATAAAAAAGTAACACTATGAGGAAAATAAAAATTAATATGAATGTAACATTGAGTTAAAAATTAATTATAGTGACAGGTGCATTTATATTGCAAAAGCATTGAAAAATAAATACAATTATGCACATGGAGAATTATTTACCAAAAAAATAGTGAGTGTAAAATAACAAGAAATGAACAATAGATTCTGAAGCTAATGTTAAATGAACATGAATGCTCTCTTGGAGCATCCTTGTACAGTGCCAAAATAATGTTTTGCTCTGGGGTCTCTCTCTCTGAACAGCCATTGTCCAGCTTTCCCCCATTATTTCAGTACAAGGGTCCACTCACAAACTCTGCGTCCCCATGGAACCCACGCCATGAGCAACAATGCCATCTTTGTCTGTTTGTGCGTGTGTTTAAATGCAGGGACTTGGAGGAGTCTATGATGAGAGGGAGTCTCTTTGGTTACATGCAGAGTTGTGAAAAAAAATTTTTTGTCATATCATTGGATATTCTTATTCATTTAATCCCATCAAATTCAGAACCGGGTCTCTAGTAGTGCATCAAAACCCTCCAGATAATAACAACTGGCAAGCAATCCAGTGTTTGATGCCGTTTCACCTCAGAGACTTTGATTCTGCATGTCATCCTCTGCTACCAGGTCATGATTTTTCCAGAGTTATGCACACATAAGCATGTTAACGGATTTGTTTTTAGCTGATCCCAAGGTTACTTATGCCTTACAGAGACTTTACGATGAGGTAGATGTTTTCTTGTACTGTACATAAAATAGTTCTAATGTTTTGCACTTTGCTTCATTAACAGTAACGCTCAGTCAAGTCTATTAGATTATACTGTGTTATAGGGTTATAAATAACCCAAACTGTATAGGATATGAAAGTGTGGATGTCCCATAAGACTAGGTTATGTCAGGACCGAAAAAGGTGTGTCTGTTTAAGTCATAGAAGTACATACTCCGGCCCACTTCAGATCAGTTCAACCCAGTTTCATCAGAGATGAAAAAAGATGTCATATATAAGAGGAAAATGGGTCAAAAGCAGAATTAACACATTTATAAACACAACTTACAAACCTACACACTTCTGAATTAGCACACTACCCTGAAGAGATAGATAGATCGATAAAAAAAAAAAAAATAATAATAATGCTTTTATTTAGCAAGGACATTTAGAATGTTAGAAAATATTTCTATTTGCTTTTCTTTTGAACTTTCTATTCATCAAAAATCATGAAAAAAAAACATATAACAGTTTTTGCAAAAATATGAAGCTGCTCAACTGTTTCCAACATTGATAATAATAAAAAAAAAATGTTTCTTGAGCATCAAATCTAATATTAGAATGATTTCTGAAGGATCGTGTGACACAGAAGACTGGCGTAATGATGCTGAAAATTCAGCTTTGCATCACAGGAATCAATTAGATTTTAAAATATATTCAAACAGAAAACAGTTGTTTTAAATTGAAATAATATTTCACAGTATTTATAATCAAATATCAAATTATTTCTTTGTATAAGTGTGCATATTTCTTTATTTTCTCCATTCAAGCCTCTTTAGCACAGGGAGGGCTGTTGACCTGGAATGTGTCCGGCATGCAGAGGGCAGGACCAATATGCCAACCTCATCCTCCACTTTCTGTTTGTTATTTTCCCTTTCTCTCTCTCATTCACTTTCTCTCACATACCAGGTCAGTCTTGTTAACCCTGACCTATTTCATGCTGCTTCATGTAGTTCATAATAGCCGTTCTCAGCATATCTGCGGTTCTAAGCAGATCTGGGATCTGTTACTGGACTGCAGTGCTCTGAATGCCAGGCTCTATAGCTGAATCTCTGCCCTGAGCCTTGGCATCTATAAATACCACAGCAGGAAACCAGAGAGGACAAAGAGAGCGTCCACACACAAACACATGCGATGCATCCGCAATTACATCAGGGCAGTTTGTGTTTTCATGCATCCACGCACATTTCAGGGCCGTGTGTGTAGGAGTGTGTTGCCAGTTGCTGAAAGCAGTTGCTGTTCTGGTCAGCAGATTCCCAGTTGTCTTTTAATCAGGGAAGGCAAGTGTGAGCATGTCTTAGTGGGGGCTGTTAAAACAGCATCGAACAAAGAAAGAAAGTGAGGACGTTGCGTGAAATGGTTAATAAATTGGCTTTTATGCAGCACTTTAACAGTGAAGGTTGAGTTATTTATGACCTTTCAGAAACAATGAGCTAAGGAGATGAGATTAGACGGCCATTCAGAGCAAAGATATGAAACACCCTGATAAACATTCACATTGTCTCAGATGTTTCTCTTTGAAATACCAAATAATAGATTTGATTTAATACATTCAATGTGTATCGCAGGTTAGATAATTAGTAACATTTAATGCATTTGAGAAATTGTTTGTCCAAAAATGAAAATTTCCTGAGAATGTACTCACCCTCAGGTCATCCAAGATGTAGATGAGTTTGTTTTTTCATCACATTTGGATAAATGTAGCATTACATCACTTGTTCACCAATAGATGCTCTGCGGTGAATGGGTGCCGTCAGAATGAGAGTCCAAACAGCTGATAAAAACATCACAATAATCCACAAGTAATTCACACCACTCCAGTCCAGCAATTAATGTCTGAAATGAAGTGAAAAGCTGTGTGTTTGTAAGAAACTAATCCATCATTAGGGTGTTTTACTCTCAACCATCGTTTCTGGCCAAAATATGAGTCCATAATAATTCATTATAATTCATAAAAGTCCAATTTCCTGTTGTCTCTCACATTAATATCCACCAGCATATTTGTTTAAAACTAGACTGTTTTCACTTGCAAACAGTGCTTGATCTGTGTATATTTCTCTCCTGATTCAGACCAGACTACTTTTTCAATGGTGAAAGCAATATTA